TTGCATGCAACGTGTGAATAATTTTTCCGGCACATGTGTTTTTTACAATTATTTACAACTTTTTATTTAGTTCTTTAGACAAGAAATTTATTGAACCCCTCTAAAAAACGTACTTTAATTTAGACCCAATTTTTAATAACTAACATTAATAATAATAATAAAAATTAACATTTTTACTTATTGTTATCGAAAAATATAAAGAATATTTAAAATATTAGACAAAAATTTCATGCAATGTTTGAATGTTTTATCCGGCACATGTGTTTTTTAGAAAAATGTACGGTATGTTATTTTCGAAATATCATTACCATTTGAGTCATACTTTAAAAAAACCGTTTCTATTTAGTTTGAATAACGGTTAATAAATAAAGTATATTTTATCCAATTGAATATTTTTTTGACTCTTATAATTCTAAATTAAAAAATTGTAAATGATCTTAAAAAATTAATCTAAAAAACAGAATTTTTTTAGAAAAAAAGTTTCATATCCTAACGCATATTTGACATATCTTAACTATTAAAATTTATACCACCCTCCTACACATAAAAACTTTACAGTTGGTCCCACTTTAACTATGTTTACTATAGAGACACAAAAATATCCAGGTGGAACATCTTAATAAAAAATTGGCCCAACTAAATGTTTACTGGAACAACTTTTTATTTAGTTCTTTTAAATAGAATCGTATTAAGCTCCTATAATAAGCCTTCTTTTATCGGGACCAAATTTTGAATAACTCAGTCTAACTAGCATTGTATTGTGCCCAAATATTAACCTCAGCTTTAGCTGGACCAACTTTGTATTTTTTAGAGGGTAACTTATTTCCTTAATTATTAGGTCAAACAATATATTTAACAGTTTGACTTGTTGTTATCGAAAACTATAAGTAATATTTTAAATAATAGACAAACATTTCATGCAACGTTTGAATTTTTTATCCGGTACATGTGTTTTTTTTTTTTAAATAATGTAGGTTGTGTTTTTTTCGAAAAAACATTGCCATTTGCGTCATACTTTAATAACACCGTTTCTATATGGTTTGAATAACGTTTTTACATAATGTATAAGATATTCAAATGAATATTTTTTTGACTCATAAGATTCCGTATTTAAAAATTGGGAATGATTTTAAAAAAGCAATCTAAAAATTAGATTATTATAGAATAAAATATCATATCTTAACGCACACCTATTTGATATATCTTTGCTATTAATATGTATACCACCTTCCTACAAATAAAAACTTTACAGTTAGTCCACTTTAACTATGTTTACTATAGAGACATACAAATATCCAGGTGGAACAACTAAATTAGAGTTGCCCTACTAAATGTTTACAGGAACAACTTTTTATTAAATTCATTCAAATAGAATCATATTAAGCCCTCTAATAAGCTTTCTTTTATCGGCACCAAATTTTGAATAACTCAGTATAACTAGTAATGTATTGTAATGACATTATATTAACCACAGTTTTAGATAGATCAATTTTGTATTTTTTAGTGACTAACTTATCTCCATATTTATTGGGTAAAAAAATATATTGAACAATTTGACTTATTGTTATCGAAAATAATCAGGAATATTTGAAATATTGGACAAAAATGTCATGCAACGTTTGAATATTTTTTCAGGCATATGTGTTTTTTTTAATTTCTCAATTTAAATTGATAATGAAATGTACGTGTTACCATTTAGAATTCGAAAATGTCTATTAAAAAAAAACTTGTTGAGGGGGGGTAATATCAATTGTGAAAAGTTTTTAGCCGAGTCTGCCACTGCGAAAGAGCATTTACATGTCTCGTTGAAATACCGAGATAAATTTAGAGTAGTGGTGGAATTATAAATAATCATATAGTATATAAAGAAGCAGTAACAAGCTAGTATCTAAGGTGGCTAGTATATTAAAACATCATGTTTCTGACTAATATTGTAATTTTTAATATCTGGCTTAAAACAATTCATAGAAAATTTGGGCACTTAAACTATTTTGAATTTATCATTTAGCTCTAATTTGAACGTTGAACGTACGACATATTTCTTATCAAATAACAGTGTAACACTTTTTTCGGTTATGTGCCAGAGCTAATTCCTACCCCAACCCCCTATCTCCCACCCCTATCTCCTACCCCCTATAACTCACCCCTATCTCCCATCCCCTATATCCTACCCCTAACTTTCACCCCCTATCACTCACATCCTATCTTCTACCTTCTATCTCCCTATTGTATAAAAGCATTATAAAAAAAAAAATCATTTCTTATTAAACTCTATGATATATATTGTGATCATGATAAAATAATCAACCTGTATAGTGTTAAAGGATAGAAATCATTCTTTATCTTTCTCTGAGTGTTATAATGTGTAATTACAAAAGCAATTAATAAATAAAAAAAAAATCTTCCTCCGAGACAGTCGAACGAAAAATATTTTTTTCATATATATTCTATAAACTTTTTCATAATAAATTTAGTTAAATGGAATTCCACATATTTCTTTTTACATAGTTTTTTTATGTAAAAGCTGCTCTAAAGTACTAAAAAATCGTAAAAAACATGATTCCTATTTAAATTCATTTAATTGTTATTCTTATAAATAATATTATGTCAGTTTCAAGTTAGCAAACAGTAATTTGATATTTTTAATTTGTTGAATAGTTGGCGATAAAAAGCGTACAGGTATAGTATAGGCAGTCATGTTAGTAGTTACCTAATGTGCACTGTCGTCATTATATTTTTAATATTTAATAATTCTTCTTATAAACTTATAAAAATATTTTTTTTTGTTAGGATGGTTGCCTTAACTTCTAAGTGCTATGCTTTTTCGTCACTTATTACTTTGTTTAATTTTATTTTATTTGCACAATTGAACAATGGTACCAAAAATATTGACGATAATAAACCTTGCGAGCATACCACGACATTAATTATACGTATAAAATCGTGTAAACAAATAGCCGTTTTGTACAGTTAAGAGACATAATGCCAAAATAATGTAATGAGAATGAATCATATTGTTATTAGGAAATTGTTAAGTGGCTTTTGTTTAGTATTTTCTGTACGCTTACAATAACAATGTATATCATTATTATTTAGACACTATATGAGTAAAAAGTAAGCACTATAATCAGTAATCAGACATTTAACACTAATGCACTAGTGAAAATTGTCAATATTATAACATTTTTTTTACATTGATTACGCGAATTTATTTGAATACATTTTGGCAACTGTTATGGTAAAATATGCTGCATTTCAATCTAAAATATGTAAGAAATTTCAAAATTCAGAAATGAAGGGACGGAAAACTATAGTAATGGTAAGACATTTTCAGACTACTGGCTCATCGCCAGTAGTCTGAAAAAAACGTCTTCTGTGGATGGTACGATTCGGAGTTGTCCGAACGAGGTAATAAAACACAAACATTTAAACTAACGATAATAAAAGTTTTTGCATATATTTTCTTAGCATTTGCCGAAAAAAAATATAGGAAATTGCTAATACTTTTGTAGCAGATTACAAATCTTGTTAACGGGTGTCAATCTTTTTATAGAGATTTACATGTCTGATATTTTGGGAAGATAATTTTTTGTCAGAGTTTACCGTCCCTCAAAAATTTTACTCATACCCCTTGCGGCTTCTAAGGTTGGGGATAATTATCATATGAAAAACGACTTTTTTACGAAATTAGTTTGATTGTATAATTTTAAGAATGAACAATTTAGGTATTAATTAATGAGACAGGTTGAGAGAATGTCAGATGAACTGTTTGTTTATAAGATGAAATATGGGAGCTACGCCAATAGCTGGAAAGTCAAGAGAACATAAATTGAGATAGTTTGAGCACGTTAAAAAAAGGAAGGCAAGTGAAATATTATAATTAGATGCGAAATCACAATGGGGTTGATGTGTATTATGTTTATGTTGGGTGATTTGACGAGGCAAGTCAACTCAAGATGATATAAATGAGCTGTAAATTTCCATTTTCTAGGGTTGGAAGAAGCTCACGAATGCGGTCGTTTGATGAAATCTGCGGGCTATTATTTTGACATCGTGTTCACATCTCTGTTAACTAGAGCTCACCAAACATTAGACGTGGTCGCCAAGTACTTAGGACAGCCCGATGTGCATGTAATAGAAACATGGAGACCGAGCGAACGGCACTATGGCGCTTTGACCGGATACGTCAAAGGCCATCTGGTAGACATATACGGGGAAAAACAGGTAAAACTATCCGTTGAGTTTATGTTTTTTACACGTATTCCTTTTGTAAGCCGCCTTTTCCGTAGAAGGGCGCAGTTGTTTTTGAACCGACTGAGAACCGAAGATGAAGTTCTTGGAAACTATCAGTTTATCTGGACTTTTTCATTTTGATTTCCTGTTAAAAGGTTGTAACGTGTAACTTAGTATATAATATATATATATATATATATATATATATATATATATATATATATATATATATATATATATAAAAAAATTAATGTCTGTTTGTCCTTTATGCGTTAGTACACCATTGACCTGATCGCCTTGAATTTTTGGGAAGTTGTTGAGTACACTCCTGCAAACCTAACTGGCATAGTAATTTTTGAAATATCCATCCCCAAGGGTGACCTCAATCACGAACTTTGTACTTTAAATACGAAACGTTTTCCGTTGCTAACCCAAAATAAACACTTGGTATGTAACCATGGTAGCCACGGTACTCGAGCGAGGTAGGTGATGATTTAAGGAACAGGCCGATTCTATGTTTCACGATTCTGGACCAGCTTTTAAATGTTGAAACGGGATCTGGGACCGAGACTGGGACATGATAACCGAAAAAAGTGTCACAAAAACGCTGTCACGCTGTTATCTGATAAAAGATTAGAGATTAGAGATGAGGGATGGGGATGGGAATGGGGAAATGGGAGTTATTTTACTCAGCTCTGACAGACTAAATCTCAGGCAACGCCGCGTCCGGACAGCTTGTTGTAGTATAAAAATGCAAACGACTCGTCTTCCAACTAGCTTATTTTTAAATTAAAAAAGCTAGGTGACAATATCCTAACACGCATTTAAGTCAGCATAATTGCTCATATTTGCAATGACCAAATTCGATCTAGATGTAAAAAAACTGAGCAACCATACACCAGGGATCTCCTAGTTAGTTATTTTTGTGAACTATTGTACACATTGTTTGATTGCAGGTGCAAATATGGAGACGGAGTTTCGATGTGAAGCCACGAGCGATGGATTCTGGACACAAGTATTACGATGCGGTCATGAACAACCCGAAACTCAAGAAGTACGCCAACGAGCATAACGTTAAGTTCCCTGTGACTGAATCGCTCAAAGAGACCATGGAGAGAGTGATACCGTTTTGGGAGCAGATGATTGAGGCCGCAGTGCGACAGGGAAAACGGGTATTGATCGTTGCCCACGGTACTGTGTTGCGAAGTATCGTCAAGCATTTAGAAGGTACCGAGTTTGTTAAACGACTAAATATTCTCATATAATAAATGTCATAGATAACACGCCGAGTTTAATGGGTTCGTCTTTCGGTATGTTTTATTATAATGCAATTTAAAACAAACATAGTTGGGTCGGGGAGTTATGGGGATACATGTCCCCTGCTTGTTTGCTCTGTTTTGAACTTTCTATATGGTTCGGTCTGATCCGTGAATTAGTTTTAAACTTGTAAATTTTCTTTTAAACAATTTTTGTTTTTCTTGACTTGTAATATTAGTAATTTTTGGAGAACTTGGCCATTTTTGATGTGTATTATTTCATTTTTCATAATAGTAGAAATTACCCAGGGAATTTACTCATTGTTACAGAATATAGATTATACTTCATTCCTAAAAAGATATGCAGTATTCACAAATATCTAATTGTTGGGAAAATTTTTATTTGATTTTAAAGTTTTTCAAATATTTGACTGACCTCATGTAGTTGAGAGTACAAGGCAAAGATGAAGAAGATTATTTTTTAAATATTGACTATTGAAATTATTAATATTACTTTGTTTATTAATATAAGTTATTAATTTGTCTGCACTGGTCTGTATCAGTCCTAAGTATCATTCATATTTTTGAAATTATTGTTTTCTAATTATTAGTCTATTACCTTTCCTTTTTTTCATTTTTAAGAAGATACTGTATTTTTGAAACTATATTACTAAGAAATATGCAGACTTTCAATTGTACTGTGTACATGATGCTTTTCTTTCAAGATCATACTACGTACTGTGATTATACACCAAATCAAGTTTCAATGGATAAAATGCCACATTCAAAACGCCTTAACCAGTAACAGTTATTATATTTTAATTTAGACCGTCGTACCTGTTATCTAGACAAACCTATTAGAGATTATGCAAAATGTTGATACATGTTATAACGATAGAGGAATAATATACACATAAATTGTACTTCAACAAAGCTACAATAATAAAATCGGGTAAAAACCTAGTAACCCGGTTTGAAAATTTAATTTCGTATATTTATATTTATTTAAAAGCTGTATTGTTAACTGAATATATATCTGTAACTTGGATTGTTGTAGTTAAATCCTTTCTGTCGAAAAAAAAAAGTATTAATCATAGCATAGATAGAATTAACTTTTATAATGTGATCTATGTAAGTAAAAAGGAACGTTTGTATATACAAAATTTACCTATGGAATAATATTTTATAATATTGGAATAATATATATATATATATAACAATTAATAATAAATATCAGATACATTTACAAATATTCTTTTGTATATTATTGCTGTATTATTTCCTGTTTATTACTCTAAATCATCAGTATTTTATGTCGAGCCGCGAAGACGCGGCATATAAAATTTGGGTACAAAAATATTCACTCCACATACCTAGTTATTTAAATTGTTATCATTTACCTAATTTAGGTTAAAAATATCGAGACAACTAATACATATATAATTAGTTGTTACATATTTAATTGTTATTCATACTCAAGAAGTATTCTCTTCTCTAGAAAAATGTGGTTATAACTGCTCCCCCGGTCCAGATGGTATACCAGAAATTGTTTTAAAACAATGCAGATATGCTTTAACATTGCCATTACATTTCCTATTCTCTCTATAATTATCCACTGGCACTTTTCAGGACTTATGGATTTATACGGATATTAACAAGGCGTTGGACACGGTCAATCACACGGCGTTAATCCGAAAGTTGGCGTTGATGGTGGTGAGTGGTCATATTTTAGATTGGTTTGTATCGTATATTTCAAACAGAACTCAAAAAGTAAAAATTAATGGTTATTTTCCAAGGAGTATACGGTCCCTTCAAGAGTACCTCAAGGCGGTCACATCTCACCATTATTATTTAATTTATACATAAATGATATTAGTTTAGTTTTTGAATATGCGAACTTCAGCTTATTTGCAGATGAACTGAAACTATACTACATTATTAACTCTTCAGAAGACAGCCAAAAATTACAAAACGATTTCAATAACTTTCGGGATTGGTGTCATTATAATGGCCTTCAAGTCAATATTAATAAATGCAACACTATTTCGTGTTATCGTAAAAAATCACCTGTAATCAATATATACTACACTGATAATAACTATTGTTTACCTAGAGTGGATTCTATCAAAGACCTCGGTATTATTTTAACAAGTTCTCTTTCTTTTTCAACACGTATTCAAGCCATGTTACAGAAAGCATTACGGTATCTCGGTTTTATTATTAGAAACCCACTAGGTTTTAGTAACGTTTTGTCATTAAAAACTCTATACTTTTCACTGTTTCGCTCAATTATGGTATATGGTTCAATTTTATGGAATCGGTATCAATTATGCTGGATTAATATAATAGAACGTGTTTAAATAAATTTCTAAGGTTTATTAATTCAAAACTTCCTAATAGTTGTACAGTCGTTGACCACAACTATGAACCCTTAGGCATTTGTTACACGTCAACACCTTGTATTCGAGACGTACATACTTAGATGTGGTTTTTATTCATAAAATCTTGAATGGATCAATTAACGATAGTTTCCTTCTTGGCCTAATTGGTATATAAGTTCCTTCATTTAATTCCAGAACCCGGCACACATTTGCTACAACAAAACACAGGTCACTATATGGCTTTTTTTCTCCAATAACAGAGCTTTGGTCTCTTGCAACCAACAAGATAATACCATAGACATTTTTTATTCCTGTCAGGCGAAGTTGCCAACCTGTACATTACACTTTTAATGATCTGTATTGCATTACTTGCCAATAGGCTGACGGTTTTATCACCTATTGTTATTTATAATTTAATATTATGGTTATTTAATATAATTACTTATAATTAGTGTAATTATTAATGTTTAAATAATTAGTGTTTATGTGTGTTCGAAGACGGTGAACAAAAGGAACCACTTTTAAGTTATACTTCTTCGTAGTTATCAGCCTTCAAAACCATACTGTCGAACATATACAAAACAATCTATTATATATCAGGAACTTAGAATTAACTAGTTCTTATACACACACTATACAGCGTTCGTTTTTATAATACAAAAGTTATATAAATTGAAAAGTAATATTATCATTATTATATTTACATTTTTTTGTTCATACCACACTTAATTACAAATTTGATAATAAATTGCTTAATTATTTTTATAAATGCTTTTTATTATAGTGTAGCAACCCTGTAGCCCTGTACGCATGTATTGCAGGCTGTTTGAGTCTTGTCACAATTGTGGTGATAGGTTTTTAGATATTTAATAGAATAACTTCAGAGTAAATCACAAACATTTAATTTAATATACTTATAAAACATGTACAACGACAAACAGTTAATAGCATAATTTCAGTATGCTTCAAAAATATGATGCTTAAGACAATTATAAGCCGCTTAAGACTTCAAAAAAAGATGATAGGTAGAAATTTAAATGATTTTAATTAAT